CCTCAGCCTCCTCTTCTCCAGACTAAACAACCCCAGTTCCCTCAGCTGCTCCTTGTAAGACTTGTGCTCCAGACCCCTCCCCAGCTTTGTTGCTCTCCTCTGGACATGTTCCAGCAATGCAACATCTTTCTTGTAGTGAGGGGCCCAAAACTGAGCAGAGATTCAAGGTGCGGCCTCACCAGCACCGAGTACAGGGGCACGGTCACTTCCCTGCTCCTTCTGGTCACGCTATTCCTGATACAAGCCAGGATGCCATTGGCCTTCTTGGCCACCTGGGCACACTGCTGGCTCATATTCAGCCTTGCTCCAGGGAACAGCGGGACCAGGTGACAGGAGGGGGAGACCTGCAATGGGGTCATCCCAAAATGGCTCGAGCCACCCTCTTAGATGCAAGCCCCATTTGTCCCAGTGGCACTGGGAACAGTCCCGCAGCCTTGGGGTTTCTCGTCGAAGCATGCCCAGCGCAGGGTCACCCGGGGAGCACCATTCAGCCGCTGTGCTGTCTGAGCCTGTTGCAAACAACCCTGTGCACCAATGTCCTTAACAACATGGGTCCCATTCAAGCCACCCACAGCAGACGCCTACGCCTGGTACCTTAGCTAACTCCTTGCTGCTATTCTGGAAGCCTGCAGGGAGTTCTGAATTGCTCACTACTATTCTGGAAGCCTGCAGGGAGTTCTGAATTGCTCATGTCTTTCTTGATCTTACACCCACCTACGCATGACAGCTCAGAGGAGCCCTCACAGTGCATGCAAGGAAGACAGCGCACTCGTTAATCCACACCCCCGGGCACAGAGGTGTGAAGGAAGCCCGCACGAGCAAGGCAAAGCAGCCGGCAGCTTTCAGGGAGCTGGCAGCTGCCCCCGAGGCCCACAAGCAGCCGCATGTGCATGGAGAACACATCCCTGGAGATCTTCAGAGCCACCACGTTCTGCAAAGGAGGAGGAGGAGGAGGAGGAGGAGTACAGGAGGGTGGCCCAGGGCACGGACAGGCAGGCACGAGCTGCAGTACCCATGTCGCCATTAGCTCAAACCTGCACCCAGGGATTCCCCTGCCCAGACCAGGGGACGTATGTGCTGTATACATTGATGAAGGTATTTGAGGCTGACCTTGCTGCTAGAGCCTAGTCATGCTAAGAAAGCCCTCAGAGGAGCCCTGGGATGCCCCAGTGCTCAAGCACAGGTCTCAGGGGCTATCACGGTGCTCATCCCTCCCAGAAACAGCCTGACAGAGCACACACTGGAGATGGGGCCGATGAATGCCAGAAGCTGAGGGCACAAAGCTGGAGGCAGCTGATGAAGAGAAAGCGGAGGCTGGGTCCCAAGAGGAGGGTGGCTTGCAGGGGGTTTCCTCTGGATTCAGACCAAGACAAGAGCAATGGTGTCAAGGGTTTCAGAATTTGTAAACTACTTAAAGAGAGACTCATCCTGAAACCAGAGTGCGATATTTACTGAATTTTTTGTTCAATGCATATAAAAGTAAATATTTTCAATGAAAACCCTGGGAAAGCCGAGTCATGAACAAAACCAAAATCATTACCATGATAAGAATAACACCATTATTATAGTATACAGGCACATCTCTCTATATTTGTTGTTTCTATCCCCCTGGTGTGTCCATAGGCATTTTGGGGTGTAATGACAGCCCGGGGAGTTGGAAGTCGGAGTCTGGTGTTGCACAGGAGGAGGAGCTGGGCTGTGGTGATGGAGACCGGACCGATGGCAGTCAAGGTTCATGGTCTGATGGCTTTTACAGCTCCACTGTTCCAGAGAGGAGTTAGACGCCCTGAAGGCAAAACGCTTGTGTGCTCAGAAGCCCCAGCTCTGCACCTTCCTCACTGTCCCAGGGACCAGGACCCCAGCTTGCCGCAGGGAGGGGAGGCTCAGTCCCCCTCCCGGAACAGCTCTTCCCAGAGCCACCGAGATGGGGGAACATGTCTGTCCTGGCAGGCAAAAAAGGTGTGTGAAAGTGGATGGGTTTGCATGCTGCATGCCAAAGTAAGGTTTTCCTAAAGCAGTGATATGTCCCAGACTTCCAGGGCTGAGGAAGACAAAGAAACATTATGCTAGAAATGGTGCCTAGCTGTCACCTTCCTCCTAACGGCCAACAGAAGGCAGAAGTGGCAGTGAAGACCCAAGAAAACATTTCTGCTCCGTTGTTAGAAAGCCGCAGACAACTACGCACATCCCCTTAAGATGACGAAGCATTTTCCACTATACTAGAAGAGAAAGAAAGACGTTAGCACATTTCTCATCAAGAAAACACATTTCTCAAACTGCAGGGCTGCAATTTTCGCTGTGGAGAACCTTAGCAGGGGACACAGTCAGGGCCCCTGGGTGACCGAACCGCCCCAGGAGCTAAAGCCTAAAAATGCAGCATTAACCAACGGGTTGCTCAGGAAAACACCTCCCTGACCACGCAACCCATGGCTGTTCTGCTAGGTGTGGTGTCCTGAGGGATTATGGCCTTCAGTAAAACCAGGCACCTTGAGCAGATCAGTCCTGGGATCCACCACAGCAAGGGATGGTCTCAGCCCAAAGTGTCCCTGCAGAATGTACGTATATGCATGTGCATATGCCCATCTTCCTTCAGAGTATGGAAATCAAATGGAAATTATGCTGGGCCATGCAGCCGTCCCTCCAGCTGGGGCGAGCAGGACCTGGTCCTTGCTGGGCAGGATCTGCATGGAGGCTAGAGCCAGGCAATAAATGCCTATCCCCCCAGGCCAGGGGCAAGTTCCACTTGTCATGGCTTAAACAGAAAACCTGCTTGCAAATAGCTTTAGGAACAGCTTTAGCTTTAACTCCACAGGGAGCTGTGCTCCTGGCTTTTCTCCAGCTGCCCACTGCCAACCCATCCGGGCATCTCAGGGCAGAATGGTACCTGGCCCGAGCAGTTCCTTAGTTGCAGGTGATGCAGAGTTCACCAGATGGACAATTTTATTCCGGATTCAGAACTATCTCATACGTTCAGCCTGGGTGAGGTAGATTCATGATTTCTAGGAATGCTTTGGATGCAGCATTGGGGTGAAGTCACATCCGTCCTGCTCATTCATTTCTTCCACCTCTCTGCAAGACCTCTGAACTGTTGCACTTCCTCCTGCCTCTTCTGGAAACGCTCCTCGTCACTCCGGCACTGCAGCAAGTGCCACTCATCTGTCACCTTGCCATGGTCAGATTGCTCTTGCTCTCTGGACTGTTTCCATCCCACCACCTCCTTCCACCTCTGGTGCCGTGACATTTAGCCTGGTCCCTTCCCAACTGTCACCCTACACAACAGGTTTCCCGGGCTGTCCTCTCCACCACCACCCCCCCCCAACTGTCTCTGCTTCCAGCACTCTGTCAGGACCTCAAAGTTCGTGTCCTTTCTTATCTTCTCAGGCTCCACAAACCCCCTCTGTAAGACCTCCATAGAGGTCAATAAGCTGCAAAGCCCACTGAGACCCATCGCCCTTCTCCTCCCTGGGATGTGACAAATCTGGGACTGGGCTCTGCCAGCCACTCTCCCCTCTCTGCCATGCAGGCTGCAAAATGAAAGAGCCTGCAGCTGAAGGGAGGAGGGTGGGATGCCCCAAAATGCAGCAAAACTCAACCGAGAAGAACTGCTGTCTCAGTCCAGCATCATTTTTCACTAGGAGACCCCTAAAGCATCATCCAGGACATTCCCAGAGAAATTGTGCTGAGCCTCTAAGCCCATAGCTTTACCAAACTCATTTCATTTGCATTGAATCAGTCATTAAATTCAGCAGCTTCCTTATTTTTGTCTGAAGGGCGCACTCCGCAGTCCACGGCTGCTGGCACGGCCTCCATCCCCAGGGCATGGTCTTCTGCCTCCTGGCCTTGTGGACCACAGGCACTTTGGTTTAGGTGAGTCAGGACTGGCTGATGCCACAGCTGAGCTTAAGGCCCTGAGAGCTTTTCCCCCAGCACCATGGTGACAGGAGGGCAGCAGTACAGCCTGGGGGGGGGAAGGGATGTCCCAGGGGATGGAGAGATCAAAGGTGATCTTTGGAGACATCAGCAGAGTTGTTTTTCTTTCCCTGGGTTCTGCAGCCCCCAAAGAGCCCCCGGCCTGGTGTGTGCGACATGCAGCTTCCCATGCTTGGAGATCCCCCACTCACGGCGCTTGTGAGGGCAGGCAGAGGGGCTGGACCTACCAAACCAGAGGCGATCTCCCTTCCTGGGGACAAGACAGAGCAGCCCAGGAGCCACCAGGCAGTGCAGCACCCGCACCTGTACAAGACATCCCCTTGCCTTCACCCCAGGCCCCAGCATTGTGTGGCCAAAGCATGGCCAAACACACAGGCACCCAGCTTGCCACTGCGTCCCCACTGATGCGGGGTCTCTCAAGGACCCTCCCTGGTCTGGAGAGGACCCGGTCCAGCACCCTTTGCCCTCTGAGATGTTGCAGATTAGCTGTGGCTAATGAGCAGGGATGGACGCACCACAAAACCGCCCTGTTAACCACACAAGGCTCCTCCAAATCAACCCTTTATTGCCCCCTTCCAGTGCAATTCACACCAAACCCAGCACCATGCAGCTGGCTGGGCGCGCGCCCTCCTCCAGCAGCCCATGAGATGGGTGGCAAGGCTGGCAGCTGGCAGCGCAGCGGTGTACAGCATGTCCCAGCACAGGCACGGCACGCGGTGGGGGTCACCCCCAGCAGCCAGGAGCATGCGGGGACCCCACCATGGGGCTCACCAAGGCACGCAGCTATTTCCACAGAGCTG